ATATATTATATTATACATATGAAAATTCATTGATATATACACGTACACGACCATTTCAATCGACGAATTTCGAGTTGCACTCTTTTGAAACAGCTGGCCGTTGACATACAGGGGACTTCGCGCCGTTGTCACTTAGGCGTATATATATATAATAAACGTAAGTTAACAAATATACATATACATATATATATTGACGAAAAAAAGGCCCGACAATTCTAGTCACGCTCGATGGGCCGCTTGAGTGCAGAAACTTCCAGTATCGGTAAAAAAAAATTGAAGAAAAAATTGAAAAAAAAAAGGATACGAATGCCACAGAATTGGAGCGAACGATCGTCGACTAGTCTTGTAAGTGCGACGATTGGTGAGCTCTTAGTCAATCTTGGCCGGTGGTTCTTTTTAAGTTATACATATATACACTACCGCATAATGAATTATTAAACAAAAAAAGTAGGTTTTATAAAGTCGCGATAAAAACGAGGTCGTACAAAGTCGGCTCTGGTGACCTTTGTTTTGCGAAACGCTAATTATATTTATAAACTAAATGAATAAAAAAACTAACTATATAAAATGAGAAGCGATATACTTTCTGAAGCACATTTTTCCTCCTTGTGTAACGAGCGTCTCTCAAAGGATTTTCGATTTTCACATCTTTTGCTTCGATCGGATGATTCATTCGGATTGAAAGATCGATGGTTCTAAGATGACCTCCATTCGAAAAATAAAGTCATTCGGTCGTAAATTTGTACACATGGCATCTGTAATGGAAATACCAAATAGGCTGCGATTTGAAGAAAACTAAAATTCAAATCTCAATTGATACGGGAAGTGTACTTGAACACTTGAAATTTATGAATAACATTAATTACCATCCTATGAATACCCATTTATTAGATAGCGCCAAGTTGTCAAGTATGAAACGTACTTGAAAAATAGTTTTCTACGCTTGTATTTTAAATCAATTAATTATTAATTGATGAGTTGATTTTTAAATTAATAGACAATTTCATTCATACTGAGTTTTTTCGTGGCTAATATCTTTTTTTTAATATCCAAGAAATATTTTTTTGAGTAATTTAAAAGTACATTTTTTTTAATTTGTCAAAAAAAAAGAATCAAGGATTATGCAAATCAATTGGTATTTATTAAATATTTAATGTTCTTAAATTGAAAATGATAACCATACTTTCATATTTCGAGCAGATTACTACATTTATTGCAAAAAAAATATTGTCCAACTGACATAAAGACGACGAGAAGACGAAAAATGGAGAATCTGAAAAAACGATATTGAATTTCGAAAGTGTCGCAAATGAGGCGCTAGTAGAGGAGGTAAAAATTACAAGCACACAGAATTGTGGTGGAAAGCGTTATTATTAAAATTATCATTGCGATTATTAATAATTATTATTGAAAGACTTTTAAATTACCCGATATCGAGATGATGTTGAAATTGACAATATCTTTTGAAAAACATCGATGTTGTAATGCTCTTAATGAGATATTGTACAAAAAATTTTTATTAAAATGAGTTATAATAATAACAATGATAATAATGACGATGGTAATAATGTGTTTTAGGTTTCGTGTCTTTCGACAATCAGGCATGCGCGCAGGCAGCGATCCAGGCGATGAACGGNAAACAGAAAAACCAAAAAACACAAAGTAAATAAGATAGTATGCAAGTGAGATGGTATGCAAGCAAAACAGATTGCGAGAGGAAGTGAGAAGAGTCAGTTTAGAAGGAGCGTGATATTTTTCGCGCCGACGATTTTTAATTTATTCCGGCGCTTTTACGACATGAGGCTGCGGACTCGAGAATCACACGCACGCGTGTTTTTTATTGCCAGACCCACTTCAAACAAAAAAAAAAGTTAATATATCTTTCGAATTCGCCCGTTGTCGGTTATTGTATGGAGGTGAGAATAATGGCACCAAGGAGGAAGAAAGAGACGTTGATGAAAGGGGCGTTGCGTTTGAATTGACATAAAAATGTGTAAATTCCAGAGATCTCAGATATTGTTCCTGTGATTTTTTTTAAAGCTACTTAAATGTGAACAAAACAGTTTAATGTTACATCTCATGTTAGCAGACACAAATAACTGTAAAGGGATTGCAATCCACGAAGAAAATTGTAAAAATTTATTTTTATAGTCTGTGTCAAAGAGTAAACGATAAAAAAAAAGAAGTGAAAAGTAAAAAAAAAATATACACGAAATTGCCAATAAAAGTTATTTTCGTGAGTAAAAATAATGGAAGAGAACAACCATTTTTTCGTCGACAATGACTATATCTTGTGCGGTGGTACGTGACAACTAGTCAAATTGCAGCGATATTTTTGTTTCGAGGCAATCTAATATATAAAAAGGAAAAGAAAAAAACCTGCGATGAGAAATAAAACCGAGTCCGAATATACAAATGTACGAATATAATATCATGTGCGCGAAATTCTCGAGCGAGCTCTAATCCACGTAGGAATCACACGCGCTAATCAGCAAGTGTTTAAAATGGGAGAAAAAATTACAGGGAAGGAAGCATATAAGAATCGCGCTGAGCGACGAGTTTTCTTTCCCTCTACCGTTTTTTTTTTCTTTTTTTTTTTTTTATCGCAATGAAGCGAGTAAACAATCGTGCGAATAATAATTATGTTTATGCGTTGTTACAATGAACGAAGCATTTGAGCAGGTGATCCCAGAGGGTGGAATAAAAAATGTCCATGATATCAACAGCAATTTTAGATAAACGGAAAATGTTCTTTTTTACTCGTTTCAGCGTTGATTGTATCATTTTATAAAATTTAAAATACTCGTAGATTTTGTATTTGCAATTAATAAATTACTATACCGATTAGCGTCATCATGTAAATCTCATCGATTTGAGATTTTGAAAACAAAACTTTTAAAGTACTACATTATTTTCCGTTTATACTTGTGCTAAGTAGGTTAGATGAAGTGAAAACAAGATCGTACGTAGCTCAACTGAGTTGAAAATGTTGAAGGTTGATGAATTAAAAAAAAAAATTATATCTATACTTGATTATATTTATGATATTAACACTAAATAAACCATACCTTATAAGATAATAATATAGACAAAAAAATTCGAATGATAATTAATCAAGTAATTAATTGCATTTAAAAAATGAATAAAAAAATCACAACATATAAAATACGCAGCACATAAAAAATATTATACAAGAATATATATATTCTCATTTTTAGATCATTAAATTTCTGACGAAAATCGCGAAAAATTTTTAAACTAGGTAACGAGATAATGGAAAATAAAAAATATACAATGGAAACAGCGATGAAATCTGAGCACACAATTTATAGAAGTATAAGCCTTAAAGAAAAATGCTACTGACGTGAGAATGTATTATTTAACATTCCTCAGTGGCAAGAACTGACCAATTGTATGCTTTTTTTCATTCTTTACGGTCAGTTTCAATTGTTTTAACTGTTTCAAGAAATTTGTTTGTTATATTTCTTTTATATTCAAAAATGAAAACATTTTATAATTGGTTTACAATACTCAAATTTTTTTCTTAATCATGCGACAAAAACATTTTTGTACACTAATCGAATAAGCACGATTTTTTGTTGAATGAAGATTAATCATGTAATAGAAGGCTGTAAATGAAATTTTTAATAAAGGACAACATATTTCGTTGAAAATACTTGCTACTTTTATTTGATACCAATGAGTTTTTTGTTAAATTCTAGAAAAATATTTTAATTTAATCCATTTTTCTCGACTCAGTAGTATTTTTCCATACAATGTGCGGCAAAAAAGTTTTTTAAAATCACTAAAAACTTTTAAAAAGTATTACTTAATACAAATTGTTGCTCATGAAACGTGACTGAGAAAAAAAATTTTAGGTTCATTGTAATACAAAATTAGTCGATACTTATGAAAATTTCAGTCAACTATTTCAAATAATATACTTTTACGATCATCGTTGGAAAATTTCTCGATAATACTCTGATAAATTAATTGTGGCTTAAAAATATTGCAGAAAACAGAAGAACAAATACGTCCATGCAGTTTCAAAGAAGTGAAATAAAATAAAGGAATTTTAATAAAATTTTCTTTACTAATTAAAAATTTATCTCAATAAAGACACGTAAAATTTTCGTGTTTGTCAACGATTAACGAGATGAATAATCAATCCTCGGTTTATATATTCAATAAAAAATGTAAATAAATTCACATCCTTCGGTTTGAAAAAAAAAAAAAAATATGTATGAATAGTTGAACACGTCTCGAGCATGCATAAAAAATGCATTTTCACATACTATACACATCAAATTATTACCACTAAGAAACAAGCTTGTAAGAAAAAAAAAATCAATAAAAAACGAAAAACTCCACTATTAAGTGATATACTTAATGAATGACTAAGGTAACATACCCGTGACCGATGTATAAATATTGCAAATATAAACTAACTTACAGTTTTGCTAATGTGTGTTAACAAAAACAGGCATAAACTAATATTTTACGCGAAACAAATGTTTCACCATATCCAATTAGTATAGCATTGATCTTTGAGAAGTACTTGAACATGAGCGCGTGAAAATAAACAA